TATATATATATATATATATATTTCTATATAATTATATTATAATTTAACTTAAATACATTTAGCAGATGCTTTTATTCAAAGCAACGTACAATGGAGGAACAAAAGCATGGAATTTAAGCATAAAAACATGAAAGTGATCATCTGAAAAGGTGCACTTTGTGCTTTGTATCACTTGACTTTTTGTATTTTTTAGCTGAAAATGGTATAAAGCCAGTATAAATGTTTGAAACTAAAACAGACATAACGATTATATTTCTAAAAACCTGGCCCATAAGCTAGATTTTTTTTTTAAAGAAAAAAAAAAACCAAGACACAAAAAGTGACACTGACACAAGGAAGTAAATCATTAATTATATCTTTGGCGGGAAGACAGACAATAAGACACAATAACAATTAAACTAAATATACATTTATAACGACCATGCCAAACTCTGCAACACCCAAGCAGATGGTGCTAAGAAAATGACAAACTGTAAACCACGATGACCTTGTAAACAAAAGCCAAATACACCAAAGCGTCATTCACTAATGAATCTCTAACAACAACATAAAGTGTTCATGCTATCGCCAGAGCGTTTCGCAGTGTCTTTTAATAGTCTCATAATTGAAAGCCATTAGAGACCCTAATAGATTACATAACATTGCAGTAAACTTCCATGTCTGTACAAGTGAGTCGCGAGGTGCAATGAAAGCAGAAATTGAACATAAAATGAATGTTTAACCGTACCTGAACTCGTGCCGTTCAAATATATAAAACCGAAGATTATAAACATCAAACGATTCACGAAACACGAGCCATCATCGCGACACGTTTGTTTGGGTGTCAGCGAAATGCGGTAAAGCGCCAAAACAACACGTGGTGTGGAATCCGACGCTGAGTTTTAACTCTAGCTTTGCCACGCTCACTTACATCGATAGAAAGATGGTCATAACGTAGAGTGAACGCCTTGTAATAGCGTAAATAAAGCGTATAATCATTTCTGCAGGCTATCACTGCATTACATCGATTTAGTCTATTTATTTTTAAATATGTTTATATACAGTTGCTGTTCCTTGAATAAAACATATTGGCTAAATGGAGGAATGGGCTCACTTTCCGCCACTGCCAGGTTGTACTGTGGTTTGTTTAACATTTTAGATTGATATCGCCTGTCGAATTCCACTTAGTACTACTAAGATCATTAGTATTTTAGAGTCGATGTGCAAATGTCTTAATACAAAACCCGATCAATTCCTTCCTCCAACATCGTCAAAACACCGAAGTTGCAAAGTCTATATTTAATTTCTGTTTCAGTAGGGCTGTTCTGTATTCTTTATTGGCATGAAAACACGTAGCGTTGGTCCTGACATATTTACAGAACACAAGTAACAGACGTTGCGGTTACGAAAATAAGATAAATTGTTGAAAGTATCCACTAGAGTGGCAAGACTAGAGTAAAATATCTGTTTTTGATAAGCGGCGTCTGATGTTACGTTGGCGTCTACGTAAGCAGGAGGAGTCGCGCGGGCAGCGGGATTTTTGAAAACGCAGCATTTTTCAATGGTTTGATTTCTAATCTAATTCCGATTAATTCAGTAATTTATAGGGTTTACAACAAATTAAAAGTTGCCTATATGTCAATATTAGATAAATATTGGTCTTATATTGTATAGTTTATGAGACTATGAAGAAATCTGCTGTTTTATAAAATATTTAGTGATTTTACAATGAATTAAAAAATACAAATATAAAAATCCATGTTACTTGAGAAGCTTAATAAAACCCCGATATTTTAGCTTGAAGAAACCTGTTTAGATGCTATTAATATTTTGCCATTATAATTAATCTACCACTCAGGACTCCATATATTTATAACCAGTAGATGGCGCCAGGCGACGTCATGAGAACCATTGAAGATGCAATACAAATCATACACAAACTGCTAGAGACTGATGTTTATTGACAGTTTACGTTGAAACGTGTGCTGAGTCATAAAAACATGTTTTCAGTTTTGGGTGCAGTTTTTTTTTCTTTCTTGCATCCAATTGTAAACTGCAAGACTCTTAGATGAGAACATGATGGAAGTAAATTTGATACATTGCAAGGACCAAACACATCAAAGCTGATTAGTTTTGCCAGGTACCTCATTCTAAATGATATGTGCTTGTGAAACATGACAGACGTTCACATACTCCTCTTCCCTCCAACCCAGAAATTAATAATAAAATAATGATTAGCATCTGAAAATGAGTCATCCGTCACTATGAATATATCACCAGTGCTTTCCTCCAAAATTGTAGAGACCAAATGAATTATTCAGAGACTATAATTCATCCAATCCTTTATATAACACTTCAGTCAATAGCCGAGTTGCGTCTCTCCTGGCGACAGCTGGGTTTAGGTTTGATTATTGTTTATCTAATTATAGGGCACTGTCCCTGGTTTAGGCTCCTCTGTAAGGTGTGTCACATAGGACTTACATAAGCGTTGGAGGTAATTATGCCAGAACAAACTGTATTTGTGTTTGCTGAGCTCCATCGCTCTGAATGAGACTCACATGTAGAGCTGTTAGCATTATGTAAGATCATCAAGTGCATCTTTTGGGCAAATATTTTGAAAGTGTGGTTTAAATGGGATGTTGTGTGATTATACTTTAAACGTATTTTAAATGCACTCAATTTTTTGTTTATGCCACACTTACAGAAATGACAGTCTTGGACTTGACAACTGGCGGTGTGGATGCAGTATCACGCAAAACAAAAGTCATTATACAGATTTAAATATACTGTTTTTTTTTTTGTAGGGGGTTACCCTACTACAGATATGCAGAGATTATTTTATTTATTGTTTGTGTCCAATTTTGATAGAAATGTAAATAATCTTTATACTAAAACAAATTGAAACACAAGATTTAATTAATTATTAATAGTGGTAATAATAATAATAATAATAATAATAATAATAAATTACAATGCATCTTGTTTTCTGTATGTATTTCTATTTATTTTATTTCTATTTATTTTTATATACATAAACAGAAAAGATAAAATACATTGTCCATTTATTTTTTTCATAATAACAGAAACAAAACAATAATAAATAAATAAATACTTAATATATATTAGTGTATTATTATTATTATCATCATCAAATTAAATAATGTATCTTGTGTTTTCTGTTATGTATTTTTTTACTTACTTATTTTAAACAACATTGGAAAACAGATATATTATTATTATTATTAATAATAATAATATACATTATTCTGTGTGTATGTGTGTGTGTATACATACATAAATATAATCATCAAATAAAATAATGCATCCAGTGTTTTCTGTTATGTATTTTTATTTATTTGTACAACAATGGAAAACAAAAAAAACATAATATTATTAAACAATATTAAACATAATGAATAAAATATTGTAGAGTGTATATTTTATTATTATTATTATCAAATAAAATACAATGCATCTTGTGTTTTATATTGTTGTATACAGAAATAAATTAAAATAACTTTGCATTTTTATTTTTTATATATTTATTATTATTTTTGTTAATAAGAAGAAAAATTGTAGTTGTAGTATATATGTAATAATAGCATTTACTGTATGCAAATTTGTCTTGGATCTAAATGGTTGTAAATTAAATTTCTTTTATCTCTTAACAGCTAATGCGCTTAGTTAGTATTGATTCAAAATAATGTTCTTTAAAGCGCAATTCATTTAATTATGTATAAACTTTTGTAATGATGAAAGTTACACATTCATGCTAAGGAAACCCCATCTATTTTTGGAAACAGTGTGTCATGTATATAGGTTATTATCATGACAACTGTTTGCATTTATTCGCATGGATGCAAATAAATGGGTGTCTCACTGGCATGACAGAACGAAGACAATCTAATATCCACTTTTACAGAATCCACCCACAACATCCTCTCAGTAAAAGCCAAAATTTATGAGGAAAACAAATGCAGTCGGAGGGCGTAGTCGACTGTGCGCCTGTGCACGACCAGAGTCCTCTGCCTGGAATGAGCCCTAATTTGATTATGAAGGCGGGCGAAATGAGAGAGAGAGTGTTGTGCTGAAAGAATAATCTCCATTTCAACCAAACAAACCCTGTACAAGAGATATCCCTAAATCACTTTAATGCTCTAAAATATTATTTTGCCCTATTTTATGAGGTATTATTGAGCGGCGGCTAGTCACCTGTGTTATTACATACACAAGTGTGTTCACTGCTCACACAGACAGGATTGTGCAATTAAGTGAAAACACATGCACTATGGTTTGTTTTTTGGTGTAAACACACCCTGCTCATGTATTTTGCATAAACAGCTATGAGAAGCAAATTCTGGATCACTGTCTAAACGAAAGGCTGCAAGTGTATATTCTGTGTTCGTGTTGAGAGCACGAGATTTGACTTTGAGGAACTGGTCTTTCAAGCAGTTTTAAGACAACTGAGATGAAATAGTGTTCGGTGTGCACTGCACTGACCGATCGATGCGGACTTAAGAGAAACATTGTTCTCTGTCTAATGAATGTCATGTATGAAATCCAGATTTGGTGAAACATCTAGCATGTGATCCTGCGCCAGCAAGAACACACACCATTCACAAGTCAGATGTTAAACTTGTGGACAAGAGACTCTTTGTCACTCGGTCTCTTATCTAATTATTTTGTTATGTACATATGAACAAACAATACTATCCCTTGCTTAAGAGTAGACAGCATGACAGCCTCAAGATGCCCACAGTATTTCACAATCTCTCTTGAATCCTTGCAGTTTTAGTTCTAAAACTCTCACACTATTTGTTTGCTTCTGTTATATAGCCTGAATAATATTATTACATGATTTTCTGAAATATTCAGCGGTGTGATGTTGCACCGTCACCCATGTCACTGTTCCTCCAGTTAAATGAAACTACTTTCACGTCTCTCGTATCACACTACAAACTCGCACTCTCGTTTCAAACCAATGAAACTGACACATTTTGTGTCTCATTTATCAGCTGTAGTGAAAATGACTTTAGGATAATATGCAGTTAAAACAAATGTAAAATAATTGAAACTCAAATGAATATTTCACATCCACATATCTATGCTGTGAAATAAAACGTCAGCCAGTCAATATCACTTATACAACCGTTCAAAAGTTTGGCTCTGTAATATTTTTATGGTTTTGAAAGAAGTCTCTTATGCTCATCAAAGCTGCATTTATCTGATGAAAAATACAGTTATATTGTCAAATATTAATACAATTTAAACTTTTTTCTTTTTGTAATACATTTTAAAATGTCATTTATTCCAGTGGAATTTTCAGCATCCATCTAAAAATGATTATGACCAATAGGCTAAGTCAACATGATAACACGTTTTTCCATTATTTTAACTCATTAAAAATGTAGTTGAAATTGGTTACAATTATTTTGAAGTTATATGAGATTCAACTTTTTTAAAGTCAGTTTAATATTATTTAAGTTGAAATAACTTTAAGGCAGCAACTGATTTTTTTTACAGTATACTCCAGTCTTTAGTGTCACATGATCCTTCAGAAATCATTTTAATATGCTGATTTGGTGCTTGGGAAACACTTCTTATATTATCAATGTATATTAGTAAACAATTGCATCATTACACAATTTTGTTCCTTAAACTCCCGGCAGTACTTTTAAAGTTTTTTGTCACGAAATGCAAAGATAGTACTATTTGTTCACAAAGTTATGCTTACATTTCTTACATTATCAATGTATAGCCATATTATTAAACAGTAAATTAAACAGTTGTACTTTTTGTGGAACCCACAATGCTTTTTTTCTGGATTCTTTGATGAATAAAAAGCTCAAAAGAACAGCATTTATTTGAAATATAAATCTTTTATAACATTAGTGACTTGCACTTTACTGCATGCTTGCTGAATTTTAAACAGTTTGCTGTCACCTTAATTGATATCCTTATTGCTTTTGTGTTGGATAAATACTGCTCTTTTAACTGAACTAATGTGGTTTGCTACTTTTTGTACTGTAGCTATACTGTAGTATAGATATAGTGTAAATTATGAAAAATTTGTAAAGATTTCAAAGATGAAGCTCTCAACATTATATACATTTTATTCTGGGAATCAAACCCATGACCTTAGGGTTGCCAGCACTGTTTGAGCTACAGAATTGCAATTAGTCTCAACAAGGTAAATATAAAATTATTGCGCTAAAAATGAATCCATACACCAAATAACCATAAATGTCCACATATTCCATATAAATTACTCGGAAGGTCTGGGCTAATTTTGTGTTCTAGTCTGCATTGCTTCTAACACATGCACACACACACACACACACACACACGTACGCACACACGCACGCACGCACACACACACACACACACACATTATGAGGAGGGAAGCACTGCTGATTCACCACCTGTCGCCCAGGTACCGTCCAAGAGACTGTGTCCTCACCCATGGAGTCAAAACAGCCAGGGAAAATGACCTACAAATCTCTGAAGCACACTGCACACTTTGCATGATTTAAATACATATTAGAAAACTACCACTGTAGAGTTATTTTACTGACAATCTAAATGCCACAAATTTGACATAACCATGCTTTTTAAACTCTTGACAAATGAATTGTTTTCCAATATGCATTTGAAAGCTGGTGCTAAATACACTGATTTGCAGTTTTTACATCACAGATGTATACCAGAAGGAATGGATTATAGTTGCATTGGACAAATTCATGTAAACAAAATGTTAAAAGCCTAAAAACACACATAGTCTGAAATCCCATAATGTGCAAAATGTATCTGAGATGTCAGACAGGATTGTGTGTGTCAGATGAACTACAAAAAGGATCAAGCATGCCCGTCATGGTGGAGGTTGCAGGCTGCCCTTTTGTCGAGTGTTAATCCTCCAGTTGCCCATACGCTGATGTCACCATCACACGGGACTGACAGATTGCTCTGGAGAACTAATGTCTGCAGCCAATCAGACGCTGAATGAATGGAGGACATAGAGGCAGACTGAGCTTGTTGTACTATGAGACATGTGTCAAATGACATGAAGGTATTCAGTTAAATCAAATAAAGGTTTTTCAATAAGGTCATTTTATGATCTTATTCATTGACATGGCAAAACAACAACAACAGAGCAACTGACATTTATTTTGTATTCTGATTCTTGTAAATATAAAGTTGCACAATCATATCAAATCTATACAACCATATCAAATCTATATAAAGATGTAAATATAAAGTTGCACAGTCTGCTTCATATAAAGTTGCTCAATCAGATGTCAATGTTAGGTATTGCTATGCATATTAAATGCATCACCATTATCATATATTTGCACAATTAAATGCCTTTTGAAAGATGGTTGCACACACACTGGACAGAAGCATTTATTCAGTGCATTTATTAATCTCATATGTTATTCATGTTTAAAAAAAGTTAAAAAAAATAAATAAATAAAATAAAAAAGTTAAATACTTTGAAAAATAGAGAAAAGGGCAATATTTTACACTGAAGTTAAATACACAAAAAAGTATTGTTTGTTGTGTGTGTGTGTGTGTGTGTGTGTGTGTGTGTGTGTGTGTGTGTGTTTGTGTGCGCGCACGCGCGGTGGTTACAAATTGTAATCACCTTGTAGTAATTTAAGTGGTAACAAATTAATTTTCCAAACATACAAATGCCATTTTTATGCTGTAAATGACAATAATACATTATAATTAACAATAATAAATTATAATTATTAATAATAAATTACAGTAATTAATTACTGTAAAATAAAATACAATAATTGTTACAATAATATTAACAACAACAATTATTAATATGGACAAATCATAAAAATATATTTGTTATTAAAATAATTAATAGAAATATTCAATAATAACATATAATAATAATAATAATAATAATAATAACAATAATACATTCCATAAAGTAACAATTATTAACAATTAATTAATAATACAATTAATTTGATTTTATTAGCTTTTTTATTTTATTATTAGCTTTTTATTAAAACAATTGAAACAACAATACAATAATAAATAATTTATTAATAATAATACAATAATAAATAACAAAAAGTAATCAGACCTCTTATTAATATTTAATAACTATTTTAATTATTAAAATGATCAATACAAATATTAAATAATATCAAGAACAAATTATATTAATAATAAAGTAATAAACTGTTAAAGTATCAATAATTACTAATACTTAATGAATAATAAAAATATAATTATTGTTGTTGGTGGTGGTGATTTAAAAAAATAATTTAATAAATATTGTATTTTTTTTTTTTTATTATTTAAAATAGTTTAGATTAAGTATAGCATATGTATAGTTACACTCTACTGTTATTGCTTAAACTTTTATGTCTACCCATGATGGTTTCTTTTACTGTATATTGGCAAATAAGCTGTCTATAAAAAAAAAAAATCAACATCTCATACAAGTTTTGTGTTGTGGAACAAAAGCTTTCCACTGACAATACCAGAATGACAGCATTGGATTTGCACATATTAAAGGGGTCATATGATGCTTTTTTAAAGATCATTATTTTGTGTATTTGGTGTAACAGAATATGTTGACATGCTTTAATGTTCAAAAAACACATTATTTTTCAAATACTGTACATTATTGTAGGTCCTATATGCCCCAAACACACAGGGTCTCCCTGACATGGCTGCTTCAACACTAACTGCGGTTACTGAAACCACGCCTTCTTTCTTTGCATGCACATTTGGGCACATTATGCAAATATTCCCACATAGTGACCTAGATATGTGGGGGCGTGTTAGAACGAGCCGTTTTAGGGGGGCGTGGCAGAGTCTTAACTTTGATAAAGAATATCTCTTTGGTTTTGAGACTTTAGTCTTTGCAACTTCAGGGATCTTATCTATTCACGAACAGCTTGTAACACTCCAAAGAGAAAGGAAAACTTGAAATCGCATCATATGACCCCTTTAAGTATGTTCTGAGTGGAGAAACATAAAGCTTTTAGTTTTCCAAGGCTTTCCCATATTGCACTCTGATCTGAATACATACATCACAGCTTTTAAAGCTGACCCAATCTCTCAGCTCAAGTACAGCATACAACCCATCAAGCTTGAGAGAGAGAGAGAGAGTTAGTGTGACGGACTAAAAAAAGACACAGGATCATTTCCATAATCCCTGACTGTGGCACGCTTCATCCCGGTGCCTCTCTCTCTCTTTCTCAATCTCTCTCTCTCTCTCTCTCTCTCTCTCCCTACCACTTTCCACATCTAAGGCACAGGGCTCTCCAGCTGGGCTGTGCGTTGCAGGCATGGCATTAGCATGTCAAAACCACTCTCTGGTCTGGGTTAAAGGAGGAGGGAGAGTCAATGGAGATCGACAAAGCAATGACAGAAACAGCTGATCCACAAAAGGTGCCTGTTTAACGGATCTTCCTGCCCCGAGCCCAGCTGCTCCCCAAAACTGCAGCGTCACAATGCGGCCCTGATGCTGCGCCCATAAGCACAGAATCAACAAACCTCCAGCAGACAAAGGATATTCCTATATCAAACCGTTCCTCCAGTGAGGCTGTTTGGCAGTGCACCTGCACATGGAGCAAACAAAAGAGCTGCTCTTGAGTCTGTCAGTAACACAGCAGCTTTAAACACAAACTACTACATGTCACAAACAAAACCTTTAAGTTCTTCTACTGCAAAATCAACCCAAACATCAGTTTCTTTATGTTAACATCATTTCCATACCAACAAACACAGCTGTGACCTTCTCATGTACGCTGCAAGGAAGTATCAAGGCCATGATTCAAGATGGAAGAAAACACTTCATGTACAAACAATACAAACAATATGACAAAAGAAAAATATGTGACATAAACAAGCAAAGGGGTGTCCATCATGTTTAAAGAAAGCCTTCAAGAAAAGACAAAAAAAAAATACAACACAGTTAGTGTGAGCTCTATCAATATGAAGCCTGTCACAAATGCAAAATAGATTTGTATACTTTATAAAGAAGCTGTATTACTCATGAAGAACTCACCACTATATTGTAAATGTCATTTGGGTGGTTTTTAGGGTGTATTCTGGGACGCTTCCGAGTTTCTAAGGAGTTTTGAGTAGTCAAAAATATATTTTAAAGAAAGAAAGCCTTCAGGAGATAAAATATGGAAAATATTCAATATGGACAAAAAATCAGCCTGTCACAAATGCGAATTCGATTTTTATGCTTCATAAAAAAGTTGTGTTACCTATAAGTCGTATTACGTTATGGAGTTTTACATTTTTTGTCAAATACAATATTTTTTTAATTCAATATTTTACAAAATGTACTTAAAGGGGTACAGAAACATATTTACATCATCATTTAAATATACATTTTGGGTCAATACATTTTTGGTGAATGTATTTATTAAAACACTTTTAGACAATAAAAGTGTAACAAAATAAAAATATATATTTATTTATTTAAAGGGTTAGTTCACCCAAAAATGAAAATATAGTTACGAAGTAACTAGCTTACTTGTAAAGTTACGAAGCTACGAGAATACCTTTTTTGCACAAAGAAAACAAAAATAACGACTTTATTCCACATTTTCTTTGAGCAAAAAAGTATTCTCGTAGCTTCGTAACTTTACAGTTGAACCACTGATGTCACACGGACTACTTTGTCGATCATCTTGGTACTTTTCTGGACCTTGACCTTGCTGTCTATGGGAGGGGCAGAGAGGCCTCATATTTCATCAAGAATATCTTAAACTGTGTTCCGAAGATGAACGAAGGTCTTACGAGGGTGAGTAATTAATGACAGAATTTTCATTTTTGGGTAAACTAACCCTTTAAGTGTCATTATATTTTAAAGTATTACTTTTGCCCATTTATTGTATATTATTGCATATTATATTAAAATTATTATTGTGTATTACATTAAATATATTAAAATAAATTTTGGGTGAATACATGTTTTGGTGAATGTATTTTATTAAACATATTTTAGACGATACATTTTTTAATGTAATTATATTTAAAAATATGATTTAAATATTATTATTTTATTGTATATTTTGAAAAAGATTTTTAAAAATATATAATGTTTTGTCATGTATGGATGCTAGCCTGTATGTTTAAATAGGACTGCGCATGGTTGAATATTTGGTTTAATTCACAGTATAAGCCTGATTCTTTAGGTTGTATTCTAGTGTTGTTTACAAAGCAGCAAACAATATTTATATAAAAAATACACTTCTGTTTGTACACTTGGGCAATGGTGCAAGTGTTTGAGAGCTTGTGAAGATGATGAAAAACAGACGGAACAGATCCTCATCATTGTAACCAGAAACTTCACACAGAGAACATTGTCCCTGGTAATGAGAATTTAATCTTGGATGAAGCCTCCGAGCCCAGCGACACAACACAGCTCTAAAAAGCTCTGGGAAGCTTATCCAACTTCCCCTGGTTCCATTGTACTAAAAAATGACAGGATACAGAGGGCGGCCTCTGGGTTGCACCCAGTTGTTTTTCCTAAATTTGCTCTTCACATCCAAATGGAAGCAAACAACCTCCTACACTGTCATTTCTCAAAACATGTGTCACAGACAATTGACCTTGTACTGGCAGCAGGACATAAATAAATGCAGGGGCCTAAACGAAATGAAGCTCCTCCGAAATAAACAGGGAGGGTGGCATCTGAGATTAGCCCCAGATGGTGAGATTGAGCTGCTCTTGAATAAGGCCGACATTATATAAATGGATCTGAGCCCAGGAGCAGGAGCCTTGTTTTGAGTGCTTGATGTTGGGGAGCTATATTTGGAGCCTGATCTAAGAGAGACAGACACGGACGACTTAAAATAGCTCAAATACCCCAGTTTGGTCACTCGGTTCCTTTACACTTTTTCTGCCACACAGCCTCTGACCAAACTGACTTGTGCTGTGATAGCTCACCTTCTCTGATAACGGGAGATATCATATCAGTTTGTTTATGTCTAGCACTGGGGGGCGAAGAACTAGACAGGATACAAGATGTTAGATTTGAAATCCTTAAGTAGGTATTTAGCAATGTCTAAATTAATGCATTTGAACATATTTGAGTGATTTAAAATGAGAGCTTGTGAAAAAGTTTGTGAACAGCCATTAAATGAAGCCCAATTTCATTCACACCAAGTCTGACCAGCAATGAGATGTTTACACCACGAGTAAAAATACATTATATTATATATATACATATATATATATATACAGTGGGTATGGAAAGTATTCAGACCCCCTTCAGTTTTTCACTCTTTGTTATATTGCAGCCATTTGCTAAAATCATTTAAGTTAATTTTTTTTCCTCATTAATGTACACACAGCACCCCATATTGACAGAAAAACACAGAATTGTTGACATTTTTGCAGATTTATTAAAAAAGAAAAACTGAAATATCACATGGTCCTAAGTATTCAGACCCTTTGCTGTGACACTCATATATTTAACTCAGGTGCTGTCCATTTCTTCTGATCATCCTTGAGATGGTTCTACACCTTCATTTGAGTCCAGCTGTGTTTGATTATACTGATTGGACTTGATTAGGAAAGCCACACACCTGTCTATATAAGACCTTACAGCTCACAGTGCATGTCAGAGCAAATGAGAATCATGAGGTCAAAGGAACTGCCTGAAGAGCTCAGAGACAGAATTCTGGCAAGGCACAGATCTGGCCAAGGTTACAAAAAAAATTCTGCTGCACTTAAGGTTCCTAAGA